CTCCAGAGGAGGCTCTGGTGGATGAGAGCCCTGAGGCGCCCCCTCTCGGCCACCACGGCGAGTGCCCGACAGGACCACGGCCGTGGTGTAGCCACAATGTTCGACACCATGGCAGGTCCCCAGGAGAAGGCACCACCACTGTGTTCCCAGCCAGTACTTGATACGGTTCCTGGTCCAGAGTAGACACCCAATCTGTACTGGCTGCATGGATGACTGGGTGGGTGGATGGATGGATAGACTGAAGGACTGATGCATGAACACACAAATGGATGGATGGACAGACGGATGGACACACAGACACATGGACAGCTGATGAACGGATGGATAGACTCTCCTTCAGGAAGATGAGATGAAGCCCGGGGCCAAAATGGACTGTGAACTGGAGAGCTCCCCATCAAACCTGACTTGGAGAAGAAATAACAGTGAGATGTACACACCCCTCAACAGCTGGGGCTGTGGTTTTGGAGGCCACTATAGACTATTAACCTCGAAGACCCTGAAAAAAACAAACCAAGGACAAACCGGTCCCGAAGTTTGGATTCCCCACCCCCGGAATAGGGAACCCCTTCCTGCTGCCATCCCACTCCCCACCCTGCACACCCACTGCAGCAACCTCACCACACACATCCCCGAAGATCCTAGGGCTCTCCAGAGCCGTGTCTCCAGCCTCACCTTGACCATGAGGTTAATCAAAGTTCATCCCTATAGACCCAGACCCAGTGTCACCTACTCCAGGGAGGGTCCCTGACCCCATTGGCCACCCCATCTCTCCCGGACCAGAGGACATGGCTCCATCCTCGGTGCTCTCACAGGACCTGGTCCACACCTCTGCTTTATAGGTGAAGGGGTCTGTCTTCCCCACCAAGCTGGGAGCCCCAAGAGAGCAGAGGCAGTAGCCTTAGTGCCCGGCATAGAACTTAGCACAGCACTCGGGCTCATTAAATGCTGGACAAATGAAAGAAGGAACTCCTGAACAGAGGGGAGGTGGTTCCATCAGCCAGCAAGACCCCTGGCCTCAGCCCCTCTCAGCAGCTGTCACCTTGATCAGTTTAGGACTTCCACAGTCCTGGAGTGAGTGAGGAGAGGACACTGACATTTCCACCTCCCCTGGCTGGTTTGGGCTGACAGGCTACATGAGTATAGCATCATAGATGGCTGTCCCCATCCACTAAATCCCCCCTTGGCAGACAATGGTCCAGAGAAGAACCAAGGCCCAGCTCAGGATAGGATGCATCCAACTCAGTCCCAATTAGGGGTGACTGGAAGGTGCCTCACTCCGAGAGTCCCAGTGCCGAGCCCATGCAAGGCTTCCCTCCATGGCCTGTGCCCTCACAGCCCCCCAAGGGCAGCACCCTGGGGGGCTCCAAGTCTGGAACCAGGAGACGGGAGTTCTGTCACCCCTGAGCCCAGTCTCCCCAAGGGGAGCCTTTTAAAGGTAATGCATTGATGCGGTGATAATATCGACACTGTGATAAAAAGAGGTCTCGGAGGAGGCAATGTGGATTCAAGACTGAGTGAAAAAAGCTGAGGGGAGCTTGAGGCAGGGCCCGTTGTATGAGCCCACAGGGCCCCCCAAGCAGATCCCAGTGCCTCAGCGTGCAGCACACCCCTCTTCTCACCCACCGTCTAGGCTAGACTCCCCAAGCCCACAACCCCTGGCAAGGGCAGCCCCTTGCAAAGTGGGATCACAGAGAGGCCAGCGGTGCATGGGCCCCCAGGCCGAGCCCCACACACACCCCCAGTGACTGAGTGGACCTCCCAGCACAGCATAGGAACAGCCTGGCAGGTCCCAGACAGCCATGTCCATGTCATGTAGAATTTGTCATTAACGACAGCGAAAGCACCGGCCTTCCCAACAGACTCACATGCAGCAAAATGTAAACAATTCAAGCAGAACTATCTTCCTCCCTCACTCCCATCAGCCAGGCTGTTTGAGTGGGAAAGGGGAGGAGGTACAGCTAGGAGTACCACATAACCCAGTCCTACTGGAACTTGTCCATACCAGGCCTGATCGGACACAATATCTACATGTCATCAGTAGCGGTGGGGCTCTGAGGCCATTCACTTCCCCACACCAATGTTTTGTGTTTCATAAAATTCAGGACATGTCCTGGCAGTGGGTCACCCTTGTGGACATCCTCTGTCCTTGTCACAACAAAGAAGAGGTTGGGTTACTCTTCTCAAAAAGCCCAAGCAATGCCTGCGTGCAGTGAACAAAGGTTTTGTTCTGGGATTGGCATCACCAAGTCTCTCCTGGAGGACCTGCTGGGCTGGCCAGCCATACAGGACACATTCACCTCCAAAATCCAGGCTCCTTCCCCTACCACGCTTAGCAGATGCAGTAAAATTCTTTGAGCATGAACACCCTAAAAACCTTTGCCAGATGCTGGACAGAGGCAACTGAATTATACCTTCCCCCATGAAATCAGCATGGCCCTGTTTTACCCAGTACAGTAACTCCTATGCTTGTCTTTTCCATACAGGCAGACCTCAGAGATATCGTCAGTTTGGTTCCAGACCACCGCAATAAAGCGAATAGTGCAATAAAGCAACTCACGTGAATGTTTTGGTTTCCCAGTACATATAAAAGTTATGTTTACGCTATACTGAAGCCTATTAAGTGTGCAACAGATTATGTCTAAAAAAACAAAGTACATATCCTAATTAAAAAATACTTTATTGCTAAAAACTACTAAGCATCATCTGACAACAGAGGGTTGCCACAAACCTTCAACTGGCGAAAGACACCATAATAAGGCGAGATGGGCCTGTAACATGGCACAGAGGGGCTCTGGAGTGGGTCATTCTGGACTTGAGTCCTGTTCAAACCCCGGGTGGCTGCTTGCATGACCTTAAGCAAGGCATTTAAGTTCTTCAGCTCCGGTTGCTTCATTTTCAAAGTGTTAGGATTAGAGAAGGCACACAGAGGGCCAGGCCCATGGCGGGCACCCAGGAAGTGATGGTACCCTCCCTCCTCCTGATAGCAGGCACGTGGGGCCAGAAACCAAGACTCCAAGCAAGCTGGAGCTGGAAGCAATGAAGCCCAGGTGCTGTCCTCCTCTACAATCTCTGGCCACCCCTCCCAGGGTCTTGTCATTCTTGCCTGACATTAAGAGCAGCCACTCCAGGGGACTTCCCTGGCGGTCCAGTGGTTAGGACTCCGCGATTCCACCGCCAGGGGCCCGGGTTTGATCCCTTGTCGGGGAACTAAGAGGTTGCACCGCGAGGTGCAGCCAAAAACAAGAGGAGCCGCTCCAGGGGCAACCCCAGCTCCGCAGCACCCAGCAAAGCAAAAGCTTTGCGAACCCGGTCTGGGAGATCAGGAAGGCAACCGGCCAAGGCCAAGCCAAGTGTATCCAACACTGCAGGAATTTGCATAATTAACCACTTGGAAAGAATACCTTTAGGCCAGTCTTGGTTATGTGTTAAATCCTTGCAGGGCCTAGAAACAGGGCAAGAGCTGAATTCATCTGGAAGGGAAATGACGAATGTGAACAGTGAACAAGCACGGATGCTTCTGGAGAAGCTATCTGTCCGTCACCGCCTCCATCCCTACTTTCAGATGCAGACACTGAGGTTACAGAGGTGAGGCAAATGACCCAAGGTCACACACAGAGTAAGTGGGGGAGCTGGACTCGACCCCAAAGTTGCTTACGTCCAAAACCAACATTCAGCAGAGCAGTAGCCGGGAGGAAAGGAAGCAAGGAGAGGAGGCGAGGGATTGGCGAGGAGAGGGGAGGGCAGGGGCCCGGCGACACTTAGCAGACACCAGCCCCAGAGCAGACTCCACCGGCCTTTTAGCAAGGAGAAAAGCTTTCCTAGGAGCAGACACTGGCACGGACACTGCTGGGAACATTCTGAGAAAGCCTTGGACACATTAGCGCTAATCCTAGCCTGCCCATTACCGGCCTGGATGACTTCATACAGAGAAATGTGTTCCGGTGAAAATGCCGAGCATCGCCGGGACCTCACAGCCTGGCTGACCACCAGCGTGATCCAGGGGCCTGATTAGCCCAGAGCGGCAGGGCTGCTGGCCAACTGCACCAAATTAAGCGTTCCCAAATGTTAAGTTCTCCAGCAGCGGGCTTCATCTGGCTGCTGATGCATGAGGTAGCATTTCGAGTAATAATTAATTAGAGAATAAAGCAAGCAAGGGACATCAAATGGAATTAGTATAATTCTGCCTTTCATTTCATTTTACATTCAATCAGAGAGGGCCAACAAAGTGCCCGGGGCTGGAAAGAAAACCGCCAGGAGCATTCAGCCGCCCCCTGACTCCTTCCATCCACCGCTGCTGCCAGGAACACCACACCCACAGCCTGTCCCCCAAAACCTACCCAGGCCGGAGAGGGACCTGCCAACTCCAGGTTGCCACCTCTTTGCCATTAGACCACCAGGGCGCACCCATCATCCGTTCATAGAGTACTTCTAGTTTTCTGTTCCCAAATTCATCGATTCTTTGTTAAACTGGTGGGTCTGACCCCTAATGAAGTTGTTTAGAAAAAAATCATTGATTATCCCAGGCACCAAAAAACTAAGCACGTACACCACGTATCATTTGGTGACATGCAAACAACACCTGCTCCGGGTACTGACATAGCCCAAAGCAGAGCTGCCCACCTCTGCCAAGAGCTGGAAATTTATTTCATCCCTAGAGGCTTACACCTGTCAACAAAGAGAGGAAAATTAAATGGAAAAAAACAACGAACAACGGCCTCAATCTTGCTGCAAAAATCCCTGGCAGTGACTAATAACCAGGTTTCCCACTAGCCGCCCCCAGCCTCTCAGCATCTGGGCAGGCGTTGGGTCACCCGTCAGGGACCAGTCAGGAGTCAAGTTGTGCTGGGGTCTCCTCCTTCATGGTATGTGCTGTGGGCCCAGCATCCAGGGATCCCCACGTCCGTTTCAGCCATGCCCGAGCAGACAGTGCCTGCAGCCCACCTAAGCCAGCCCCAGGGAGCCCTGGGCAGCGCTCCTGGGCCCCAGGCCCCACCACCTACCTCGTTGATGAAGGAGTGTGCCCCCAGCGGGCTCAGCAGAAGGATGGCGCGGCGCAGTGTGTCCCGGTAGCGGTTCAGCTCCTCTGTCTTCATCGTGGTGAAGAGGCTGGTGAACACGTGGCTAACGTTCTTGTCCACCTTTTGTAAAGAGACATCAAGGCCCAGCCGCGAGGCCTGGTCCAGAAAGCTTTGGAGCCCACGGATATCTGAGCAGTGGAGAAGACGAGGGGGAGAGAAACATCTTTAAGCGGGAAGGGACCTTGGAGGGCATCTAACTCCAATGCTACCCCCTCCCATATGGGCCTTGAGCAAGGACTCAAGTCTGCCTCCATGGTCCAAAGAACAAAGGCTGGAAGACATGTATTTAGTCCCAATGTCCCTCAGCAGCATCCAGGCCCTGGGTAAGTTTCTCCCGCCATAGGGAGCACGTCCTGCCATCCAACAGGTCCTGTGGCCACAAGTGTCCTGCATGGTAAGCTCCTTTTCTCTCCCTATTGCTTTCACCCAATGGGAGTGAAGGTTCTGGGAGTTCTGTCCTGGTTGCTACATGTGGTGGTGGTCCCTAATCCTGGACCCCTGTTCCCTCCACCTGGCTCTGCTCCTCAGGGCTATGACTCCTTGACCCTTAGTGGTGAGCTAAGGCCACTGACTGCCCTGGTCAGAGCAGGCCCAGCCTCAGTCCCTGTAACTGAACAGCCTGCACCCTCACAGCCTCCCTGAGGCTTGGGACTCTGTCTTGTTCCAGGGACTTGATTTTCCTGGATGAGCTCTCCTCCTCCACCCTCTTTCCAGCTGGGGTGATCTCACCCCAAGTCCAACGAGAACTCTGCATCCTGACTGGTTCAGGGGTGAGCAGGTGGTCCAGGATGGTCCTAGACTGAGCACCGTCCTGACACTTTGGTGGAGCACCTGGGAGAGAGGTCTGCTCTTTCCCCTGTGGTCACCAAGGGGTCAGGATGCAAGCCCAGGGCAGGAGAGGAGCATGGAAAGCTGGAATAAATTACCAGGGAGCAGAAGCCCATAAGGAGCTTGGGGCCCAGCTACATCAAATATTAGTGCACGGGCTTCCCTGGTGGCGCAGTGGTTGAGAGTCCGCCTGCCGATGCAGGGGACATGGGTTCGTGCCCCGGTCTGGGAAGATCCCACATGCCGCGGAGCGGCCGGGCCCGTGAGCCATGGCCGCTGAGCCTGCGCGTCCGGAGCCTGTGCTCCGCAATGGAAGAGGCCACAACAGCGAGAGGCCCACGTACCGCAAAAAAATATATATATATATTAGTGCAAACCTCCTCTTGTGATGGCCGGGGCTGCTGAATATTTTTTTTTTAACCAGGGCCCAAATCTCTCAGCGGCAGCCCTGCATGAGCCATCTGGCTTCTCCTAAAGGAGAACTGCCCAAGAATGGAGCCAGCAAGCAGGCCCAAGAGTGGGGCACAGTCCCTATGATGTCATTTAAGCCCTGGGTCCACCTATGAAGCCTGTTTCTCCTGGATTCTTCAGTTTCATGGGCCAAAGAATACCCTTTCCTGCCTAAGCCAGCTTGAGCTGGATTTCTGTCACTTGCAGCCCAGAGTCTCAATGCATAGGCCACTTTTTCAAGTCTGGGATGTTTCCTTCATCTGGTCCATATCTGTGTTCCAGCTCCCAAAGGCAGGCCCCACACCTGAGCCACCCCCTCCAGAGGACACTGGGCCAGTCCATATTGCACACGTTGTACTCCCTCAGTGCCTGGGATGTCCGTGGGCTGCCCGGGCATGCCCTGGCCCATCCAGTCACCCAAAATCAAATTCAAAGGATACAGTGTTAATTCAACCCGATTGTTTTTCCCAACCAGTTCCTCTTCCAAACTTTCACTTCATGCCCATTCCACAAATTTCATGAATTCTACACGTACCAGGCAGCATGCAAGCTGCTACAGTGGTTCCTTCACTGCCCATCTTGCTGGGAGGTTGGCTCACCAGTAAGTCTAGTCCCAGCTGGATACGACAAGAGCAGCCATGGAAAAGCAAGCACGGAGCCAGGGAGGCCAGAGCACCATGGCAGTCATAACTGGGGTGCTGGGGGGAATGTGCACAGAGTCCCTCTATTCCCACGATGGGGGGAAGCCCTGAAATAGGGTCTGAGTACCTGTTGTAGACTCAGACACTTAGAACTCAGTACAGTTCCATCCACTTTGTGCCTCAGTGTTTTCATCTGTAAACTGGGGATGAAAGTTCCTGACTACCATTTTCATAGGACTGTGAGGAACCACAGTTCTTGAAGGTACCACCTGCTTGCATCTCAGGGGCCTGCAGCTGGGAGGCACAGAGAGCCTACATCCTAATGGTCCATCCGAGGGCACAGCAGTGCCCAAATGAGGACCCCTGGGCCCCTTCCAGAGACTGCAAATGTGAGACTGCTATTCAAGTCCATGTGTTCAAGTCCAGCCATGATCTATCGGCAGCCTGGCCCCTGGAGCACAAACATGCCCCCGGAGCTGCCTGTCTGACAAAGCACAGAGGTCTCAGTGTTGCTCTGCCCACTGATCCAGACTGGAAAAGGTGCCAGGAAGCAGGACGGGCCCGCTGCACCAAGCCCCAGGGCTCCCCCAAAGGTGACCAATGGAAGACCACACAGTGCCTTGCACCTGCCCTGGCACCAGGGGCTCCCAACACACAGGCCCCAGGTTGTCAACACCCCTTGGATCCCCAGAGAGGCCATGCAGTCCCCATCAGCCTGCTTGGGCCCCTAGAGATCTGTAGCCTTTAAAGCCTCTTGAAAGAAAAATTTGAAGAGGTTCTTCAGAGCTTCTTCACCTATCAGAGGGAATGGCAGGCAAATGGGCGGAGATGGCTCAAGGAGAAGAAGTATAGCAGGGGGACGGCACCCCCACCTAGGAAAACTCAGGGCTGGTGTCAACACCGGCCCCTCCCTCTCCTGACCACAGCATAACTCACGCCTGCCGAGGGCAAGCTGGAGAACATCTCAGCACCGAGCAGACACCCATGCCTAAACCAGCAGCGCGCTCCCGTGCCGGGCACGCAACATCTTGCACCCAGATGGCCCATGATGGTTTCCCCTCAACCTGGGCTGCCACTAGCCACCTGTAGCTATTCAAATTTAAACTTAATTTCATTAAAATTAAATAAAATCACACGCTTAGTTCCTCAGTCACACTAGCCACATTTTAAATACTCAGTGGTCGCAATCTGGCTGGTGGCAACCATACTGAACAGCACAAATATAGATCATATATGATGGATCATCACAGAAAGTGCCAGTACAGGGTCTGCCTGAGAAACTGTCTTTTAACCTGTGCAGTGTAAATGATGGTCCCAAATATGGGAGATGAGCTGCATTCAGGCCTCCCTATTACCATGCCTCTTGCCCTGTCACTTTGAAGACCATTCTAGCTCCTACGACAGGTTCAACCACGCGACCTGCTTTGACCCATGAGACCGTTGTGACTTGGTATAAGCCGAGATTTGAGGAAGTGTGCATTTCTGTTTCCACTCCTGGACCCTGCCACCACCATGAGAACAGCCCTGGACTAGCCTCCAGAAGGATGCAGACGCGTGGAGACGAATCAGACGGACCAGGCAGCCACCGCCGGCTACGTGTCAGCTGAATTCAGATACACCAGTGAGCCCAGAGCAGAAGTTCCTGGTTGATCGATAGACTCACAGACACACAAATGACTGTTGTTCTAAGCCACTAATTTTGGGGATGGTTTGTTTCTCAGCAATCACTAACTGATAAACCAAGTTCATCAGATGCATTGTATCTAATACGCCTTAGGAAACGTTCACTGAAAGAGCAAGGCCTGTATCTTAAAAAGTCACCCACACACACAGCTTCCCCACGTGGGGCCGAGTGTGAGCCAGTCCTGGGGTGAGGACACTGGTAGCTTCTGCAGCGCTATCCCTTCGCCTGGACACCCATGTCCTCACTGCCCGTGGCCTTGGCTCTGACCCAGATCTGAGCACAGCTGATGGGACAGGGATAAAGGCAGCGCTCTGAGACCCACCATCTACCAGTTCCCACTCCACTTCTGGCGCCTTTCAAGGCCATTACAAGTATTTAAAGTGGCAGAGACTGGCACGTCTGCAGAGCCATACTTTACGTGAGCACACGTGCAAAGAGAGCTCCAGGGTGGCTCTGTGTGTGTACGCATGGGTCCACCAGTCTGGTAGGGGTCCAGGAACCTCACGCATCACACCAGCATGGCCGGTCCTCACAGGCTGGGGAGGAAGTTCCCTTCAGTCTCTTCTTTGAGGTCCCCCTACCTAAATCCATGTCAAGCCATAGGACCGTTTCACTTCTTCAGGGAACAGGAGGTGCCACGGCGGGTGGCAACTGTCTCGGGACCCACAAGGACGCACGAGGACATGCACACACAGAGAACACAAGCCCTCAGAGCTCCTGCACACGCTCAGCTGCTGCGTTTCTGCCTTCTGTTCAGGCAGCCCCTGATGGAACTGAGCCATCAGAGAGAGTTTAAGCTCCCTGTCAGTGGCTGGCTCCCCACACCTGGAACAAGTGACGCAGGCTGAAAGCAGTGCTCCTGAGGGACCATGGCCCCGGCTACAGCCACCTGCTCCCACTTGGCTGAAAAGGTCAGCCCTCAGCCTCTGAAGGTCTTATTCAGTTGCACTTGAGGAGAGCTGGGGGGCAGAAAAACAGTCAAGAGCACGAGCTAACTTTGCCGCCCTCCTGCTGCTCACCAGGAATGGGGCCAAGGAAGTCCACGTCTCCAACGAAAATCCTTTCCTCCCTCAAGAGTCTGAGTTTGTAACACCACCCTACCTTCATCCCCCAAGAAAGCCAGCTGTCCACGGCTGCTCCCCAGAAAGGGAGAATTCTCCAAGAAGTTACACTAAAGACAGAGATGGGGCTCTCGGGGTAGCAGTGTGGGCATCCCAGGAGCCCTTTGGCCCTCTGAAGAGTTCTGGACCTTGGCCCAGGCCCTTCCACTGGGAGCTCTCTGTGCAGACTGGCCAGCCCAGTCCACCTTTGCTGGTGCAGCTCCCCCAATCAGACCCACCTCCGCTAGAGAGGGAGACGAGGGGGCCACAGTGGGTGTCTCGTCAGCCGCAGCCCAGAAAGGGCAGGAGAAGGCAAACAGCCCACAACTCTCCAAGGTGGCAGCGGGGAGCGTGCGGGGGACACGAACCATGAACAAGGGCATCGGCCACCCACACGGATGACAGGGAGAGGCTCCCAGGAGAGA